GTGTGGTCGCATGGTACCGAGAGCAAGACAAATCTAAAACCTGCCAGCACGCCTTTTTAATCAAAGCTAGTTGGCAAAGACAGTGTACCCGATTGAAAACTGAGGGCAGCTTAACAAACAATGAGCTTTCAGACCACACTGTACCCGTGCCACCTAATTGTTCAACCTGTATTAACTGGCATACATCAGATTTGGAACCAGCTGGTTTGAATTGTGGAGAAATTGTTAAAACATGTTATATATGTCCCTGAACATAGCCCAGACTAGTCACGTTGGGAATTGCCGCTATCGCGTAAAAAGAAAAACCATGAAAAGTTCATATCTCAAGAACTACACTAGATGGAGTAATGGTATTGGTACCAAAATGTCCGCAATACCCAAGTTTATATACATGTTCCATACATACTTGGGGTCTAAATACAATATTGTCGCCGTTATTCACAAAAAAGTGTATTTTCTGGTGGCCATGTTGGATTAGAAAAAAATGCTCAACACATACGAGCTGGCATACATCGGATTTGGCATCAGCACATAAACATTGACAAGAAACAGCAAAAAAACATTATATATGTCGAAAAACAAGCTTACACTATTATGACCATTACGCCTAGCCTGGACTAATAGCGTGCTTAATTCCTTCTCTACGCACGGCGACTGCGATCTCAAAGACACCGTGACAGTGTGTCGATGGATAGCCTTATCAAGATGTCGATGAAAAATATTAACGCTAAGCTACGAAGTAATCGTGCCAAGCGCTGTTGCCTCCGAACATCCTAGTTCATCGTTAGCCGAACATGGCCGTATACGATCCGAAAACAAACATCAGGTCTCCGTACTCTTGCCCGCTACCGAGATAAGAGCTACGCACTGCTTCTGTGTATGTGCTTTGCGTTGGCGTGATATTGTTTACACACTGGGTGCAGTTCCCGGAGCAGCCCTCGAGTGCGGTGTGACCTGGGACCGTGCCATATATATATATCTATCTATATATATATATATATATCGAAATATATATATATAGATATATCAATCACTTACTACGACTCATTTTATAGGTCACCGTGTTATGATACACCTCCTTGCGAGAGACCGAGACGCCTTAATCAAATACTCAGACACTCTCTATAATTCCCACGTTGTCGTAATCAATGTCTCAGATTCTCAGATTCAGCGTGTCCGGTGTTGTGTGCGGGGGTAGGGGTTGTTGTCGTCGTCATACGATTATTACTCTCAACATTAACGTAGCTAATGTTAACTCCTGAGAGCTATATCATCTATTAACGCTTGTCCTAAAGGATTTGCTTGTTAGCGTTGTCTGGGCAGCGACCCTCCCCCCTCGCTCGCGCTTAGGGTGGCACGCATGCGCGCAGGCGGTCGTCTTCGCACGCGCAGCTGGTGCCAAGCGAGTCTCTATTTACACGAGCTTCCTATGGGAGGGAAGTAGGCTTCAGTGTTAAATTGACTGTCACGAATTTTCTAGGGTAAAATTTGTAAATTTTTGTTGCAATTTTTTTACATTAAAAGTAAGAACTAACGGGACTAAACGTATCGTCAAATTCTTACCTGATAAGATTGTTTCTCAACTAGTTAAAAATTAAAAAAAAACCTGAACGATTTGATATTATGTTCCTGATTGCTTGAGTCACGAGTGTATGTTCACATCGATACAAATAATAGTAAACATAGAGAAGTATAATGCAGGCAATTTAACGCATAAAAAACGTGAATCAGAATTACTTACTATTTACTGTGAAAAAAGTGGCAAATATTTTTTTAAATTTTTACTATTTACGGTGACGTAATCACTTTTTAAGCGCGCCATTTCTTTCTTCGCCCTCTCGAGCTGCACGCGTAAACCGCCATCTGACGAGCTGATTGCCGCTAAATTGCGACTCGGGAAATATTGACTTTACCTTATACATCTGTATACGGTCGCCAGAGATTGTGTATATATATAGCCATCCACGATCGCAGGTGGTTGGTTTCTAAGTAGTTCGGCAGAGAACGTTGGACGAAGTAATGTGAAGGGATGGGAGGGAAGAGGAGCGGAGATTAAATTATATGTAAATAAATAAATACATAAATATATATATCTATATATATATATATAGATATATATTAGAAGTATACAAATGAGAATTTTTATTCACACGTTTATATTCGGGCGTTGCGTGTGGAGATTACAATAGCTTTGATGCGCTACCGCGCACAGCAGCAGCAATAAATCAATAGTGCAATAAATAGCAGAGAAGTCATCGGTTAGTCATGGAAACGTCGATGTAACCTGCGAACCTTTCTTTTGTTATGTTACAGATACGCTAGCAATGATTTCATGACCGTCGATGATCTGATGTTGTTTTTGGAAGCCGAACAAGGGGTGAGTATGATGCTCTCCATAGTTTCGTCTATTGCCTCGTTATAGATAGTTACAGACAGTCGTGCAGCGAACGCATCATGTTTCCTTACGTGTTGTGTGAGTTAATTAGCACGACGGGAGTGGGCTTGTGCTTTTAGCATAATCATTATACATGTATATGCGAGCGCTAATTAATGTAAGCTTGTATATATCATGTGACATTAATTGTTTACTCCATTTTCGGAGAGAATCAGTTGGCTGATGAGGCTTGTAGGCACTGTAAAGAGTCAACCAACGGATTCTCGAGGTTTTGATTCGGTTGATGACCTGTCGTCTTCTTGAAGAAGCGTAAAGCGTTATTTAGAAGAAGCGTAAAACGTGATTGACACCGATGTGCGAAGAGTAACTTTGCGATATATTGTCCGCAATAGGCTATTGCAACACCTATAGTGAGACCTACCGTCTGGAATCTATTTTGCCTGTTCTGTGCAAGAATTTTGTGCATAAAAATATTTTTATCAGATAGACTCACGGCAAAGGGACTTCTTTTTTCAAACCTTGCGTGCCTAGGTTCACAAAGCGCAGACACCGCAGAGAGGGATTGAGATTTTCCTAATCGGAGGAGTATTCGGAATTTAGACTTGGCTTAGACTAGAGGGGGTAGAACCAGGCGTTGAGGTGACCGATGTAGAGTAGTTACTTAACAAGGAGACTCCCAGGAAGTGCCACCGCTGCGTAGACGGAACGGAATACCTGTTTCACGTTATTTTTCTATTTCACGAGTTTCCGGAAGGGCTTTGCATCCCCAGCTGCGGGGTTCTGACAGATATGGCCGTCTAAAACATAGTTACGATTTATTTGCGAGTTAGGGTTTTTTTCGTGCTAGTATCTGGACCAGCTAGAGGGAGAATTGAAGAGTGTAGTCCTTTTTACCCAAGTGGTTTCTCTTCCTCGTGGCTTTTCGCAAGAAGGTCGATAACCAAGGATCAGAGGGCTTAATTGTTGCAAACGGTCTTGCGGGAGACAAATAAGTTAGCATGTAGTTCGATTTAAGTGACATCTGAGAAGGGTCGCTGGCGAAGAAACTGTTATTTAACTGAGCGAAATAGTAAGAAGGAGCCTCCTTGTTAGCCTTATCAAACCAGAAAATCTCGACCCAATTGAGTACCTAAATTGTGCGATTTGACTGGCGAGAGTGCAATTTCAAAAATTACACAGTCGTTGTCGCTAGCACAGAGACAGAGGAAACCACATTTGGGAAATTTGTAAATACCAAATTTAAGATGCTGCCACAAGATTTGGTGCGCCGAGTAGGGTGAGTAACTAGCTGAGGCAAGGAATGTTCAGCACATGGGTTCAACAGCTTATTACACATATGAGTGCCTCGTTGGTCAGTGACTGAAGGTGACTACCAATCGATTGATGGAAGGTTAAAGTAATTGGCGATAATTGGTGAAAATCTCGTTATAATAGGAGAAATACTGGTATACAGAGGTCGCAATCCCCGTCAATTGGTCGCGCGGTGGCCGGTGTCCAAACATAGAGGCTCCAAGCATAGAGACCAGGGGCCCGTTGTCAGAAACAAAATTAGTCTTAACATTAGTCTTAACATTAACTTCCACTCGTTAACCGTTGACAGAAACATCGTAATGTTACGAGAACGAAAAATCCTCGCAAATATCCTCTTAACATTAGGAGAGCCCAGACCCTCTCGTAACTTTAATATTAAGTTGAAAATAACACATTTACAATACGAATTACAATTATAGTGATATTATATTTTATAATAATGAATAAAATGTGTTTTTCTTGAAAAACACGTCAAAATCATTAATTATCTACCTCTAATAAAACAAAACAATATATTTACAAATGGCGTATGGTATTTGTTCTCTTGTTTTAACTACTTTGCCACTTTGCCACGACTCTCGCACTCTCCCGTCTCGTGTTACAGTGTGAGAATTTGTCTTGTTGTGCAGAATAAATTAATGACCACGTCGTATTTCATCAAATATTATTTACATGCCATCATAATATGCATAAATAACTGTGATGTATACGTACAATAAATGTGTATGAATTTGAATTTTGTGATCGATTCTCATCCAATCAGCAGCCTTGTGATGAAGTTCCTGTTATCGTAAGTTTTCTAATAGCTGAGATGTGTTTCTATCAACGCTCCTCTCGTAACATTAACATTAGTCGTAAGTGTTATCGTAGCATTAACATAGCATTAACTTTACGATGTTTCTGACAACGGCCCCCAGAGTTTAGAGTTTATAACATTATATTTAAAGCCGCACAATGCGCATCCAAACGCTAATTTCTCCAGTACTAGACTAGCAAATACTTCGTGTCATGCATAATCACACTACCTTATGACAAAATAAACTCTAGTTCCTCCCATTTCACTGCGCGTTGTCTTATAAAAGGTATTTGAAAATACCTCCAATGTTGTTCGAATTCTCCGATGTTGTTGACACCTTCGCGTTGCCCTGCCAAGCAACCGCACAGCGGTGCTGCGGTACAGCGGTACGGGTGTAGCAAAGATAAAAACATGTGACGTCACCTCACCACTTCGAGGCTAAATTGTTTGGCAAACAGTCGGCGTTTGCGCCAGAATGGCAGTTTTCTCACGTCTTTCTTGTGGGTTTTAAGCAAACGCGCAGTGAAATGGGAGCAGCTAGAGTTTATTTTGTCATAAGGTAGTGTGATTATGCAAGACACGAAGTATTTGCTAGTCTAGTACTGGAGAAATTAGCGTTTGGATGCGCATAGTGCGACTTTAACCCGAAGGAGCGTGGCCACTTTATATCATATATATCATATATTATATATATATATATATATATATATATATATCACATATTATATCATATTATCATCAAAAGACGTTAATGAAGAACAACAAAGACTTGTTAGCAGCAATAAAGACGCCACCACCAGAACAGTTCCGATTCCTCCGGTTTATGGCATCTTGGGAAAACCCCGATTTTGTCCCGGTTGCCGGTAACACACGGAGACGCGAAAGAAAAGTAACAAGAAGAGTAGAAGAGTATAACAACACTCGTACAAGAGCAATGCTAATCAGTTTAATTAAGGTACAGAAGATTAGGTTACTATCGTAATAGCCTACCTGTAGTGCAAATATTCTGAAGAAAATAATAAAAGCGAGTTTAGATAGTAAGTTAAACACACCGGTACGCTGTATGTGAAAAAGTTGGAGATTTACTATAACCGATACCCAGCGATACATTTTCCGCTAAAAAGTAAAGCTAAAATGGGTGCCTGAGCAAAACATGAACAATACTAAAACTAACACGCTATCACATCAAAAACACCAGTGCATTCGGTGTTTTAAAACCGAAATAAAAATAAAAATAATAATAAAAATAAAATAATAAAATAATAATAATAAAATAATAATAAAATAAAATAATAATAATAATAATATAAATAAAATAATAATATAATAATAATAAAATTAATAAAATAATAATAAAATAAAAATAAAATAAAAATAATGCCAAACTTCGACCGAGTTAGAACGCGTATAAATGCAGCTTAAAATCTTTAAAAGAATTGGCTAGCAGCAGCTTAAGATAAACCCCTATAGAGAGCTGATTTATAAACTTTGAAATGCATATGAAGTAAATTTTGAATGAACGGCCGGCCAGGACTGGTTGTTTTGCAAACTAGATTCATCAATTCACAAAGCTTGTGCTGAACGTGGCATTTTAGGGACATTGCCGATTACATTACATTAGCCACCACCGTTAAGGCACATCACAAATCTGCGTGAGGGACAATTGCGTGCATGCGTGCGTTGCGTGTGTGCGTGCATGTATGCGTGCGTGCGTACGTGCGTGCGTGTGTGCGTGCATGTATGCGTGCGTGCGTGCGCGTGTGTGCGCGCGCGTTGCATCACCGATTGCGATACGTGTGATAACTGTAACCGTAAGAGGCAGAGAGTAAAAGTATAGCCGAGTGGCAGTAAGATTATAGCGTGCCGGCGGCTGCGACGGCACTTCCAAAGATGGCGTATCGAGTTGATTCGCGAAAGGCAATCAGGGAAACTGCCGTCTATAGGTGCGTGATGTGTGCTATGAGACGCCAGGAGCACCTACATTACGCAACGAACTAGCGGCGGGTGCATTTATTTCCTGGGGTTGAGCGTTTAGTTGTGCGGACAGAGTCAAGTTTCGTCAATACGCATTGTGAGTACCCGATGCAAAGCGCGAGTGTATATATCTCCGCTGACCGGCAGACAGAATACCAGCGAGCGAGAAGCGAGCGAGTTACGAGTACATATATACATCTGAGCTACGTGCAAACTGTGCGTGATAATAATAATACCTTTCGTTCGACCTCGATATATATGTGCAGCAAGACAGTAGACCCACAGCTCAGAGTCGCGGCGGCGGCTTTACAGTGGCACACGGCCCGCGTCACAGGCACTTGAAGCGTTTCAATAAAATATAATGCTAAATAAATACGAAATCTAATACTAGTACTACAAAATTCTTAATGTCTCTATACTCTCTTTCACCTATTATTGCC